GGGACAGCGTCACATCACAGTAGAGTCAGCTGTCTTAACCACGGCTTGTGTACTGCATCATTACTGTGTCTGTTCCCCTTTCGGGCTTGAACTGATGTTAAAACTAATTACATTATTTACTGTCTTTACATTTATTACATAGATTTATTTTACATTTCCGATGAGTGCTTGCGGTGTTCGGCCAATTACAATGCACTGGGTCAGCTGGCCAATCAGAGCAGACTGCGCTTGTCAGAAGGAGGGACTTTGTAGAAAACGAAGCGTTTGAGAGAGGCGGGGCATAGAGGACCTACAATAATGTACAGTATTTGAAAAATAATGTGTTTTTGAACATTAAAGCATGTCAACATATTCTGTTACACCAAATACACCAAATAATGATCTTTAAAAAAGCATCATATGACCCCTTTAAAGTATTACATTTTGTGAAAGTGGCCATTATTAATGTTAAAGTAAAATAAAAATCAATGCTTTGAGAGCAAAACATCCTCACTAAGTAACTTTTGCCTTTAATGAGACATCTGAGCTTGTTTTATTATACGTTGTAACATTTCCGGGGAAAATCACAGAAACATTCTAACAGAAAAATCTAACAACCTTTCCTCAAGTATCCAGTGTCACATGATCTTTCAAAAACCATTCTAATATGCTAATGTGGTGCTCAAGAATCATTTATAATTATTATCAAAACAGTTGTGCTGCTTAACATTTTTGTGAAAACCGTGATTTAAATTTTTTTTGGATACTTTGATGAATAGAAATCTCAGAAGAACAGCATTTATTTGAAATAGAAATCTTTTGCAACATTGTAAATGTATTCACTGTTGCTTTTGATCAATTTAATGTATCCTTGTTGAATTAAAAAAAAAACTAAAATACTACATTTTTGAAGGGTATTGTAAATAAAAATGGAAAATTGAAAAGGAAAGTAGCAACAAAAGGATTCCGATTTTATTTCTCTGCATGGTTGTCCTTTGTCTCGGCAGTTCTTTCAGTTTTCTGTTTGTTTACTTTTCCTGCATTTTTCCTCTTTGGCCATAGTGTTTTTGGAATGAAATGTTCTGATCCTGTGCATTGTATTGTTCAGACTCTAATGGTCTTCCTGTTATGAGGTTTGTAAGTATTGTTCTTGTTAGGCAGTGTAAGTAGCACTCAGCTTCATTCTCAGGATGTGCCACCAGAGGATTTGCATTTATAGAGTCATTTATTTTGGTATGGCTGAAGGGGAAACCACCAGAAATGCCATATTTTCTCTATGAAATTGCAACAGGCTGAGAAAAATTTCTGTAAAGGGGCTTTTTGAGTTGTTGCTGTAAATATTAACCTTCATTCCTTCCTTCCTTCCTTCCTTGCTTCCTCTCCATCTCTCTCTCTCTAGAGTGAAGCACCAGGTGGAGTATCTGGGTCTGAAGGAGAATATAAGAGTAAGACGTGCCGGCTATGCTTACAGAAGAGTCTTCCGCAAGTTTTTGAACAGGTAAAGACAGTTTAAAATTCATCCTCAAGGCCTGGCAGTGAGCTCTTCATAAAACATTATGGAATGAGAGCATATGGTCACATCTGGCGCTACAATTTTTGTCATCCAGTGAGAAGACACCACATTTTCACAAGAAACCGCATCAGAAAGACAAGGAAGAAAGATTTTTGAAGTGTGTGTTATGATACTTTATGTTGATACATTTTGGTTCATCTTTTGTTTTGGGCCAATAGTTGGTGCAGCGACAGACGTCATTATGTTGGTTTAAGGGTCTAATTTTTCCATGATGACACCGATTACTTCACATGCTTCATTGGGTTATTAACTTTTTACTTAAAAGTTAAAACCTGAATCATCCTTTGGTGTGTTAATATTAAACGTCTTATTGGTTTTAGAGTTATTTTTTTACTCTGCACATCTTGCACACACACACTTCATGTTCATACAGTTTATTTACACGAGGCTCCACTTCAGAAGACTTTCAACTGAGCATTTAATACTTTTGCATGAATGAAAAATGCATACTTTACTCAAATATATGATTTCATTCTCCAAATGATGAAAACTTCCTCGTGTTCTCTCTGTTTCAGATATGCCATTTTGACGAAGGAGTCATGGCCGACGTGGCGTGGGGATGAGAGGCAGGGTGTGCTGCACCTCCTGCGCTCCGTAAACATGGACCAAGACCAGTATCAGCTCGGACATACCAAAATCTTCATCAAAGCCCCTGAGTCGGTAAGATCTGATAAGTTTGGACAAGTTCAATTTAAATTTTCAGCAACAGAATATGATATCAAAGTTATCAAAGATATACAAAGTTATCTTAACAAATAGTAGTACATATAAATTACAATGTGTGCTCCATTTCGAAGAGTCAGTATTGCACATTTTGATCCTCTGTTAGTCAAACATCTTTTCACTAAGTCTTCACATGACAGAATTCACCAAATGTTGGAATAGGACCCTTCTGCGCACTTGTTTGCGTTCCAGCTCTCCCACTTTTACATATACGTATAAATGAAAGTGAATGGCACACAGTCTAATGTGACCATACCTTAGGTTTGACAGCCAGAAAGTGTCCACATACTTTTGGTCTTAATATTGAACAGTTCAACTAAAGTTTTATCGTTTAAAAACAAACCTCTTTTTCTCTTGATGTTTTGCTTGTGCAAGATGCACTAGCAACAGCTGACACAAGCTTTCCTATCAGCAGCATGCAGAGCATTGTTTCTTGCTTTGGTCTAGATTTAACATTTCAGTTGTGCTGTAATGGCAGGAGAGAGGTGAAGTGTAAAAGTCAGCTTTTGTCTCGCAGACATCAGCTCAGCTCAGAGTGGTGATTAATTGTGGGCAGTCAGCAGGGAAGGAGGAGGGACTCTGGGCCGGTCCCACGTCAGCACTGTTAGGTCAACATTACTCTGGATCTGATATACAACTGCAGTGCTGTGGTACAGCTGCTTCTGTTATGTCCAAGACAGCTTTGCTTTTTTTTTTTGGATTGCTTATGAAAGCACTGCTTGTGGATGTGCTGTGATCTCACTATTGACATTTAGATGTACACACGTATACATAGACCCACAGAATAAGGCTCTGTGGCTCAGCATGAATGCACCAGATTATCCAGAGATGTGTGACTTTGGCATATAGGTGTTAAAACGTGGCCTTTTCTATGTGTGCGTGTGTAATATTAAATATGGGAGAGCCCAGGTGTGAACTGCCCAGCCTCTCAAAACAAAACTCCTTCTTGAGATAAGGTGCTGACACTGAGTAATTAGTTCATGACTACAGGAATTTCTTAAGTGAGAGAGAGAGTGTGCATGCAGTAGTCGCTCTGCCAGAATGAACTCTTTCATCCTACTGAGAGCTGATGAAAGTGAGTCTTACAGTGTTTGCGTGAGAGACATCCTAACAGTCTGATGGGATGAATCTCACCAACAATGTCAAGAAACAATGTCCAGGCCACATTTTACCATAAAATTACAAGGGGAGAAAAACAAATTATTTGCAATGTGGTTGCCATTTTGATATTATTTTAAGCCATTTAAACCCTCCCTACACTACCAGTTTGTGGTCAGAAAGATTTTTTTAATGCTTTTGAATAAGATTTCTTATCCTCACCCAGGCTTTATTTGATTTAAATGCATTAAAAATGTAATAGGTACTGTGAAATATTATTACATAATTTCATAATTTAGTATAGCCATTTTCTATTTGAATATATTTATTCATGTGATGGTAAAGCTGATTTTTCAGCTTTTTCACAATTGAAAACAGTTGGGCTGCTTAATGTTTGTTTTTTTGGATACTTTTTTTTCAAGATTCTTTGATGAACAGAAAAATAACAGTATTTATTTGAAATTGAAATATTTTGTAACATTATAAATGTATTCACTTTTGCTCAGTTGAATGCATTCTTACTAAATATAACTATTAATATTTTTAAAATATGTATATATATTGACCCCAAACCTTTGAACAGTATGGACATGCAGGACAGGTTATTGTAAGTAGTTAATTGTAAGTAGGGATGCACAATATATTTGCGCATATACAATGATTGATTTTAGTGTTTTATTTTTCATTTATTTGAAATATAAATTTTTGTTTGAAACAAAATAGTACAATTAGTATAAAATTGCTATTTATCAGCTAGCTATAACACTAAAATGATTATCAATGGGAGGTTTGTGGAAGTATGTTAGTTTGTGTGTGGGGTGGGAGACAAAAAGGGATTTCTTTGTGTGTTGTCTTATAATTTCTCATCCTGTGCCAGCTGTTTGTGTGTGTGTGTGTGTGTGTGTGAGAGAGAGAGAGAGAGAGAGAGAGAGAGAGAGAGAGTCAGTGCTAGGCCTTTGTGATAATGATCAGATCTGATGTTTAGTCTACAGTGCAGCAGAGCTGTGACAGTGTGTTCTGAGGACATACATGAAGCACAGTGGAGCTGCACAGTGCTCAAAGCCTTATGGGATGACCACAGGACACTCTGAACACCTGCTTACTGAGAAAGAGAAATATGAAAACTGAAATAGAAAGAGAGAAACTGTTGAATGACAAGGACAGACTGAATCCACTATCTGTCATACTGCGACTGTTTAACACGGCTCCAATGAAGAGTGACCTTTAGTGTAATGGACAGGGTTATGCAGCTCTGTTCGCTATTGTTATTTGCACTAAGTCAGTAAGAATGTGGATTCAGCTTATAGTTCGTTTGACCTGATTACCTGATTCACAGCCTGCATTATATTCTGTTCACAGCTCTTCCTGCTGGAGGAGACAAGAGAGCGCAAATTTGATGGTTATGCCAGAGCCATTCAGACTGCCTGGAGGAAATATTGTGCACGCAAGAAATATGTTCAGATGAGAGAGGAGGGTGAGTTCAACCTTCAGATGAGTTGTTTGAGCGAGGTTAAGATTTTACATACAGTACAAGCAGCCGCATACAAAGACAAACATTGTAGAATGTGTCACAGTTAAAAGAGGAATTGAGTGGTTTTCCCCTGTATATCTTTGGAGTCTGACCTCAACTGCTGCTTTCAGCTGAATTATTGTCATTATATTTAAAAGTAATACTAGACACACAAAGACAAAAAACTCTTTCCACCTTGTTTGGGTGTTTGTTCATCTATGCACCCTTTCGGGACAATTTTTGTTTTTTAATAAAAACACTTTATTAAAACACTTTTCAAACTGTCACAAGTATTTAATAGCTATTAACAATATCTAATTGCGGACATAAACTTCATGCAAAAGTTTGGGTTCATTCAAAAGTATTATTATTAAAAGTATTATACCTTTGTTCAAAATAAATAAATAAATGTGTTGTTTTAGACTCAAATTTGTGTAGGATCATGTGACATTGAAGACTAGGCTGCTGAAAATTAAATTTTTAAATATATTAAAATAGAAAATATTTACTTTAAAATGTAATCATATTTCACAATATTAATATTTTTACTGTATTTTTATCAAATAAATGCAGCATTGGTGAGACGTCTTTCAAAAATGATAAAAAACTTCTTACCGACTGAACAGTAGTATACATGAAACAAAGCTGACATTTTTAAACATTTTTGCAATAAAATGACTTATTCTGCTCATTTTGTAGCTAACATTTTATATCACATACATTGAATTATTTTCAATTTTTGTATCATTTGACAAAATTGCAGCTTGATTGGAAATTGAAAAATTCCATTCACAAGTGACAATTACTTTTTTTTTTCTTTCTTTTTTTTACTATTTTTCTTGTTTTCTTCACACATCACGTCTCATATTTATTTTCAAGCATACTCTCCCGATGTCTCATTTTTTTGTAAATGCCGGGACATGGCATAAGAAGTAAAGCTTTTTGAAAATAACACTGAACATTGATTCTATCCACATCCAGCCTCTGATCTGCTGCTGAACAGGAAGGAGAGAAGAAGGCACAGCTTGGATAGGAACTTTGTGGGAGATTACTTAGGTATGGATGACCGGCCTGAGCTCAGGCAGTTTGTGGGCAAGAGGGAGAAGATCGATTTTGCAGACAAAGTCAACAAATTCGACAGGCGGTTTAAGGTGAGCTTACCAAAATTAGCACACAGATTCTATTGAAAAATGTGTCAAATTTTGCCAAGCTGACATGTAGCATTTATATGCATGTATAGGTGACTAAAACGGTATTTTTCTCCTCAGAGCATCAAGAGAGACCTGATCCTCACCCCTAAATCCGTCTACCTGATTGGAAGAGAAAAAGTGAAGCAGGGGCCAGAGAAAGGAATGGTGAAAGAGGTCCTGAAGCGCAAAATTGACGTAGAGAAGATAATGGCTGTTTCTTTAAGGTACGTCAGTTCATCTAAGGTAATGGCAAGTTACAACAAAACTTCAGGTGAAACGGCATACATTTTCAGTCATTTGAATAGGAACTGTAAAAATCTGTATATTAGGCCACAAGGAGCCAAATGGCTGCAACTTCCCTCCCATATGTAAAACAGAGCCTGTATGCAGTCCCAAAATGCCTTGCATAACCATCTGCAGAGTTATAGGCGTAGAGACATCAAAGGCCCAGTCTGGTTGTTAGAGCCGTCGTCTGCGCTGTGTTACTTAACACATGTTGAATCGAGGTCTGTGATATACAAAACTTCAGTCTCTTAAAAAAATGTATCGGGTTTTTTTAGCGTTCCCTGGAAATGATCAAACATCCAGTACTCTCTCAAAGGAACCTAGATTACTGACCTAACAAGTAAGGACCAAGGACGAGGTACCAGCCCCCCACAACCTTGCATATTTTGGTTTTGGAGTTGGGGGTTGTCAATAATGTGAACCAGGTGTTGCTAGGAAGGGAGAGTACACCTTGTAAAAAACTCATTAGAAAGGACTTACGTTTATTGGGTGAAGCAGGGCATCTCTGTATGTGTCCCAGACATGGAAACTTTAACAGTCACCGTATCATTGGCTTTTTTTGTGACCCCGTCATCCTGTGTGTCTATGGAAACCCCCAAAAGTGCCTCAACACGTGCAATCTGAAATAAAAGACTGTTCTCATGTTGAATGATCAAACAAATGTGGATATTGCAGGTCTTTAAAAGACATTTATCTCCCCTACAGCACAATGCAGGATGACTTCATGATCCTGCACGAGGAGGAGTATGACAGCCTGCTGGAGTGTGTATTCAAGACGGAGGTCATCAGTTTACTGGCACGCCGATACGAAGAGAGAACACAGAAAAAGCTACCTCTCAAATTTAGCACCACGTAGGTTGAAATATATTTCACATGTAGCTACGGTTATAGCAAAGCCATGACTTTAGAATTAATTAATAACTTTAATAAGAAGTGAAAAGATGAAGACATAAGATTTTTTTTTGTTGGACTAAAAGTGTCTAAATACATTTTTGTTTTTTGTCTCTTATGCTCACCAAGGCTGTATTTATTTGATCAAAAATGCAGTCAAAACACTAATATTGTGAAATAATATTACAATTTAAATGGGCCATTTTCCATTTTTTTAATATATATTTTAAAATGTTACTTATTCCTGATGGCAAAGGTGCATTTTCACATTCCTTGATGAATGGAAAATTCAAAAGAACAGCATTTATGGAAATCTTTTGTTACATTCTAAATGCCTTTACTGTCACTTTTGATCAATTTAATTCATACTTGTTGAATAAAAGTATCAATTTTTTTAAAATAATCTTACCGACTCCAAACGTTTGAATGGTTGTGTAAATACCTAATACATTTCGTTTTGTGAAATTATTGTTTCTTTTTGTTTCAGTTGCTTCTTTTCCTTTTTAATTTTTCAATTATTTGTGTTTTAATAAACAACATTTGCTTTAATATTTTATTATTTAATGCAATGACATTCTAGCATTTTTAAGTGTCCAAATACTTGTTGCGGCCAGCCACTGTACACTAATGAATGACTGTGATTGGACCTGCAGGCTTGAAATGAAACTGAAGAAAGAAGGTTGGGGACCCTGGAATGCCGGAGGGGCCAGACAAGTGCAGTTCATCCAAGGTCAAGGGGATGTAGCTGTGCTGCGACCCTCAAACAAAATGCTGCAGGTCAGCATTGGACCGGGTTTGCCCAAAAATTCACGTGAGTGATGACTCAAAAAATCATGTAATATCATTTAACTGAATGTTATTTGTTATTCATACAAGATCTCATGCACCCAAATTCAATCATTCAGGTCCTACTAAGAAGGGCATCACTCAAAGCCGTCCCAGCATGTCCAGGACGCACCACCACACCCCAACACGAGTCGCACCCGGCCCTCCAGGTACATTAAGACCTCTGACATTGACTTTCCTAATCTTCTCATTACCTCAATCAATACGCATTTGTTGAAAATGTTCTTAAGCTCGTGTGTTTCCCAACAGTTGCTCACCAGAATGGAGGGCTGAAGAACGCAAATCATACTGTCAATCAGAGAAATTCGCAACATCACAGCAATCAGAGGCCGACACCTGGAAACACGGCCCGTCCGTTCCTGCCTACTAATGTCAGTCAGCTCAAGGACAGAGGCAGCAGACAGGCACCCCAGCAAACCAACCTGGATTTCCTCAAAGTACCAGACCAAGGGGCCGCAGGGTGAGAGCACAGCATAAACACACACACACACACACTTGAAATGATATAGATAACTGGAGCTCATCACCAGATATTATCCATGCAAACAAAACAGTGATCTGCATTTCAAGTTAACATGCATGTATCTCTTTACTGTAGCAGAAATCGGCAACCATCTGACAATGGAGGAATGTGAGTCTGAGCATGTGTGTAGTTTCTGTTAGGTGGCAGTGGTTGTGGTTCAGTGGTTGTGGAATACCAATCAAAACCAGAGATGCCCAACTTCAAATAAACCATTGCATCCTCTCAGTCTTGTTTTGGATTTCCATTTCCTTACCACATTTGATCAATTCAAGTTTGTTTTACACTACTGTTCAGAAGTTTAGCGGTGGAAATATTTTGAATATGCTCTCCGATGCTGCATTTATTTGATCAAAAATCAAATAAAAACAGCAAAACTGTGAAATATTATTACAGTTTAAAATTACATTTTAAAATATTTTCAAATAGAACAAAGCTCTTTGTTCTATTTGAAAATATGTTAAAATGTAATTTATTGCTTTGATGGCCATTACTCCAGTCTTCAGTGTCACAAAATATGCTGATATGGTGTTCAAGAAGCATTTATTATTATCATCAGTGTTGAAAACAGTTTTGACGTTTAATATTTTTGTGGAAACCATGATTAAAGATCAGCATTTTATTAAAATAGAGTTTCTTTGTAACAATGCGCAGTCTGCAATGACAGTCTTTACTGTCACTTTTGATCAATTTAATGTGTCCTTGCTGAATAGAAATATTAATTTCTAAAAAAAAAAAAACTTACTTGCCCTAAACTTTTGAACGTAGTTATTCAATGTTATTGAATAGAGTTCAGGTTGTGAATGTCTAATTATATGAGAGACTGTTTTTTCCTTGAACTTCAACAAGGTTAAGGACTTTGGGTTGGGCATTTTCTAACATTTTCCCTGTTGTAGTCATGATGAGGGCCGACACATCATGAAGGCTGAAGGGCTAACAAATTACCTTTCATCGCATAATCTGGGTTTAAAAGTACGGTGGAGGATCAGCTGAATGAAGTCTATTTGGAAGACTTTTGACACGATGAATAAATGTGAATATATACCTAGTGGGGAACACATGAACTAACACCACAAAATCAGACAGCTAACCCTCCCAACAGCAGCTATACGGTGTTTTAAGAGCCTAGTTGACTTCACACTTACCTTCACTCGTAGAAGCATGTCCCTGTGGTTGCTGCAATATTAGAAACATCACATGCAACTCCATCAGTTCATGTCCTCTGTGCTTTTCTCCTAGGGCCCACAGACAGTCCACAAACAGGCCCACTCCAGGAGGTGGCCGTCCCAAACCAGCCCCCAAGCCGAAGCCCCAGGTGCCTCAGTGTAAAGCTCTTTATGCCTACGATGCCCAAGACACAGATGAGCTCAGTTTCAATGCAGATGACATCATTGACATCATTAAGGAAGGTGCGAGGGTACAAAATGCTTGTTTTACGTAATACAAATGTTTTTATTGTGGCAGAACGTAGTAATTATGATATCTGCCCATGATTTGTTTATGTCTAGATGCCTCTGGATGGTGGACAGGGAGGCTGAGAGGTAAACAAGGCCTTTTCCCAAACAACTACGTGACTAAGATCTAAGCTCTTCTGCCGTTAATGAGGGGACCAGACTTGAACCTCAGCGGACTTGTTAGATGAAGAAGGACAAAAAAGAAGGGAAAACTGAGATAATGAAGGAAGGAGCGAGGTGTGCCGTGGCTGTGGTCAAACTCCTCGTAAGCTCTGTGTTCTGGTGCCACTTGAGGCCATGTGGGCAGACGCCGGTCGGTCGGACACGAAACGTCTCCAGGGCACTGAATACTGAACTGTCCCTGTGAGCACTGATCAAAACTATTTATTGTATTTATATTATAGCATTCTGCAGTTTATTTCTGATGTGGTTTGTTCATCTGTCATTGATATTTAAGGTAATCTTAATTCACTTGAAGAGATGAAGTAGCCATTTTATGTGGGAACAGGTCTTTTAGAGTCACCTGCTGTTCATAATTTTTTTTCTCCAATTTCTTGAAGTCATGTCTAAATCAATGGTTTTAGTGGGGAATGTTTTGCTGCTAAGGACCATTTTACATGTTATTCCCTTTCATCTTGTTAAGAGAAACCCTAATGTATAAAATGCACTATGGCTCTTGAAAACCATGGTTTGTATGCTTTTGAAGTTCATCATCTCAGAACAATGCCGAATGCGTCATTGTGCAAAAGATGCAAACAGTTAAAACTGTCTAAATTTAAACTACAGTGGCATTTCCATGCATCAAAGACATAATCAGCACATTATTACTGTATAGTTATGAAACGTTTTATAAGTATATCATACAAATGTAGTGGTAAGAACATCCACACCAACATTCACCAAGGTACTAGTCAGTGAAGAATCAGAGGCTGGATCCATGAAAATCTTCTTTCGGTGGTTCTCAAGATAATGTTCCTAAGTGCAATTCCTGAAAAAAAATGTTAGGAAGTTCCCATATACTATAAAATTTTTTTATTCTTTAGAATAAAGTGACAGGTGGTGTCTGATTGTATACTATTCTACTGATGAGGCTGCCTTGTCTAATACAAATTCTAAATGTTATGCTAGTACATCTTACCCTCATTTCATTTTATGATACATTTAAAGTGAACTGGATTAGACAATTATTATAAATGTTACTGTCATCTGGAACTTTATTTGGGGGACACCCAATAAATTAAACATCTTAATTTTGGGTACTTAAGTTAGAGGTTATCCTAACTTCCAAGTTATTTATGGTGACTTAAGAACATTCCTTTTAACTATTTTGGAAATACATATTAGTAACTGAAAGTTAGAAAAGTGCAGTTAAGATGAATGTTCTTATTTTTTTGTGAATACTTTCACTGTAAAGTTTACATAGATATTGCTGGCATTTTACATCTGAAACTCAGACCATTTTAGAATGCAAGTGAGGTTGATGACTTGTTTAAGAAGTATAATTATTGGTTTAATAGATGCCCACTGGACCATAGAAAAATCAGTCTTGTTCACTAACCATGCATAGAAAAATGTGAATGTGAAATTAACATTCACAAATGATTCAATAGCTTTCATACTAAAATTTATATAAAATGTAGGAATAATTGAAACCATATAGCTGCTTAAAAAAAATAAAAATCACCTTTCCTTGTCACAATTATGGCCTCACAAATGTGTCAAGATGAAATTTTACAGATACTTCACCTTAACTGATATTTCAATAATTAGTGAATGAGAACCAATGCATTGAAAGCTTGTCCTTTTCTTCATTTTGGAATTAAACTGAAGGTTATTAAAAAACACACGTGCAATATTGACAGCAGGTGAAAAGACTTTGGGTCTTTAGTCCAACAAGACTAACACGTCACAGTCAGTATCAACACACAAGCCTGAAAGTGGTATTAAATCTTTGGACTCCAGCAATTTCAATTTGCCCAATAAGAGGTAAAAGCAAAAACAGCTCCAGCAAGTTTATAACAGTAAAAACCAAATTTAAACCCTCAGTTAAAAAATTTAATCTTTATAAAAAGTAGAAACAAATGTTTATTTATACAGACTATCCAAGAATATGTACATTAGTTTAAAAAGCAGCAGCCCATCTCCCAAAATGGCTGAAACTAAATAAAGTGCAGGTTTTAGTGTCCATTCCAACATAAAAATTCTCAAGATCTGGACAGCAGAGGAGCAGCCAGATCCTTCACAAATGACGACTTCAACTGGGGAAGAAGGCTGATCTTCATGAGCCTACTGCTGGAGTATTTCTTTCTCACCGTCTGTAAAAGATGGACATCAGCACTCAGTAGAACCAAACCCCCATGCACAAGTGACAAATAAAGTGCATACCACATGCTTTGTGAGCCCTTCATTGACCATAACCACATTTTTGGCAATATGCTGCATGATAGGCTTCAGGTGGGCCTCATCATAGGTAGAGTAGTGTTGCTGGGTTGGCGACTGGAACGGAAGATATTACAACACAAAGAAAAAAAAAAATTACCCATTTTTGGCCATCAAGCACAAGCTGAGAGAGGAACAGAGCAGCAGCTGCAGTCTCAGAAGGGTTAAAGTGGACCATGTCATAGTCAAGTAGTGTCAGTTCAAGGAAATATTTTGCCAGTGTATGCTTCTCAGCATC